CTCTGGGGGGGGTGAGGCGGCCAGGCCGGGCCGTGCCTGGGGGAGGGGCGGCCGACCAGGAGGTTCCCGCCCAGCGTGTTCCCCGTCCCTGCACCCCGTCCCTGCAGCCTGAGCTCCCGTCCCTGCTTCCTGAACCTCATCTCTGCTTCCTGAACCCCGTCCCTGCAGCCTGAGCTCTCCTCCGGCTTCCTGAACCCCGTCCCTGCAGCCTGAGCTCTCCTCCGGCTTCCTGAACCCTGTCCCTGCAGCCTGAGCTCTCCTCCCGCTTCCTGAACCCCGTCCCTGCAGCCTGAGCTCTCCTCCGGCTTCCTGAACCCCGTCCCTGTTTCCTGAACCCCGTCCCTGCTTCCTGAACCCCGTCTCTGCAGCCTGAGCTCCCGTCTCTGCAGCCTGAACCCCGTCCCTGCTTCCTGAACCCCATCCCTGCACCCTGAGCTCCCCTCCTGCTTCCTGAACCCATCTCTGCATCCTGAGCTCCCCTCCTGCACCCTGAGCTCCCCTCCTGCTTCCTGAATTCCCACCTCTGTACCCTGAGCTCCTGTTCCTGCTGCCTGAACCCCAGTACCTGCTCTGAACCCCACCTCTGCACCCTGACCCTCCACTTCTGCCCTGAGCCACCCTGGAAGTCTCTTCCTGCTGGGGCACCCTCCTCAGCACCCTGTTCCTACTGCTCTGAAACTCCTCCACTCCGAAACCTCCCCTTCACCTCTGTGCTCAGCTGTGCCAGGCGTTCCTAGCAGCTGTCCCCGTCCTTTCCGGGACATGGCAGCAGGACAGCCAGCAGCCGCTCTGTCGTTCGCGCTGTGCGCTGTGGTCACCTGTTAGCTCCCAGACGGGCGGCCGTGAGCGCTGCTGGTGGCGTTCCGGAGGGCCTGTCTGGCTGAGGCTGAGGTGGGAGGCAGGCCTTCAGCCGGAGGTGATTAATTCGGGAGCCTTTTAGAAATACTCGGGCCAGCCGCTCTGCACTCCATCGGGGAAGACAGGCGCCTCTCTGGGTGCCGGGCCCCGTGGTGTCTGTCTGCCTCTCCTGCGGAGCGTGGAGGGGGCCTCACTCCAGGATAAGCGAGCGGCCTTTGCCCCGAGGGCTGTGGCTGCGTGGACGATTTATAAACCAGTGCCGTTTCCTTGCAGGCCCGTGGCGTCACCTCGCCCCGCTGCGTGTGCACACCAGCAATGACGGCCCCCCAGTATGTCCTCTGCACGTGGAAGAGGCGGCTGTGGCCCGCCAAGGTGACAGCCTGGAGTAGGGCGGACTTTGGGTGACAAGTGATGTCTTAAGGAGAAACCTAGGGGTAACCGGGCCTGGGCGGTCGGTGCCCGCCGCACGGCTCAGTGCCGTTCCCAAGGCTGCATTTCGGGAAATGCCTTTTCTGCACCCCAAACACCGGCAGAGTCAGCTGTAAGAGGCATGTGCCGTTGCGGCCGGCGCCCCGTGCTGGCGAGAACCGTGCCCGGCCTCTGCCGCCCGCCCCGTGCCACAGTGTCCCTGTCCGAAACGGAGCGGGACCGCCCGTCCCCGGGTCCCCGCGGCCTTTGATCGCGTTGCCTGTTTTGTCTTAATAACAAGGACCTTTTGTTGTTGTTTGGTTTTTTTCTTAACACAGGTTTTGGCCAGAACCAAGGCTTCAACAAAAAATAAGAGAAAAAAGGAATTCTTTCTAGATATTCAAATTCTCTCCTTGGAGGAAAAGTTAAGTGCTGGTTTTTTTAAAAATGCTATTTCTTTTCCACCTGGGACTGGTGCGCCCCTAGAGGCCCCTCCCCGCAAACAGTGCGGCAGGCCGGCGGCCGTTACCCGGAGTGCTGCCACCCCTCGGTGCTCGTCCTCGCCTTGCGAGGGGCACGGCCGGCGTGCTTTACGTCGGTTTGGAAACGGGACCGGGACGAGGTGCCCTGGGAGCCGGACGGGGATCCGAGTAGCAGACGGTAAATGCAAGACCAGGCTGTGGAGGCTCGCAGGAGGTCTCCTGCCCACGCTCTGCCCTTTCGGAGCCCTGGGTGTCAGGCCCTTCTGTTCGGAGACGGGGTTTGAGCCTGTCACTCTAATGAGAACCTGTCACCCGGCACCGAAAGGTGAATCCTTGGCCTGCAGACGGCTCTGCTGTCCCGCCACGGGTCATCCGCTGGTGACTGCGGTGCAGGCCGCGGAGGTCTGGTGTCTGCAGAGCCCAGACGGCGTGGGGGCCCGGGCGCCCCGTCCCTGCTCCGGTCCCCCTTTGCATGCAGCGTCTCCCCACCCCCTCCTCCCCGCGCCCCTCTCCCGGAGCTCGCCCGGGTGGTCCCCAGCCCGCACTTTCCCTGCGGCGGGGAGGTAATTGAATCCTCGAGTTGAAAAGGAAAGTGCGTCCTTTAAACTGAAACGCACCTGCTGAGCTGTAAACAGCTCTCTGTGACAGTCCGGGGATCTGAACATCTAACAAAGCGGTTATTTGTGCAGTTGAAAGTGGGATTTTGCCTCATGAAAGTCATAATTTGAATTCATTTTTACTCTCAAATCCAGCCAACCTTTCCCGTCTTAAAAGGGAGAAGAAAAAGCCCAGCTCACCAGGCCTTGCCGCCTCGCTGCAGGCGTGGGAATTCCTAGTTGGCGGGACGTTCGGTCCAAGCAGAAGGTTGAGGAGGAAAGCGAGTTTAATTCTTTTGTCAGCTGAGGA